GCTGCGGGTGACCTTGGTTTTGACGCGGCGATCTTCTTCTTCCTGGCGGGTGAAGAGCTGGTCGGGACAATATCGTACTCGCTCGACAACCCTGCATCGTCGTTGGCCTTCTGGAATCGACGGTATGCGTCTGCATGTGGCCCTTGTTCATCTGAATCTGAATCCGAGAGATCTACTCGTCTGGGTGCCGCGACTTTCTTTCCCTTGGCCGATGCTGGGAGTGGCTGTGCTTGCCTGGCAGAGAGACCGCGAGCGGGTGCACTCGGAGCGTCGCGGTCGTCGACATCATCGTCGCCTGCCAAAGCGCCCAGGTCGAAGCTGCGTGAGCCCGTGGACAAGTTGGGCAGATCAAAGTCGTCATCGTCGTCGTCTGCGAGAGTCATGTTTGGTGCCTGTGTGTGAGACCGCCGCGATGGAGAGCCGGCATAGGAAGAAGGCGGACGAGAAGTGCGCAACACCGAACGGGGCGATGGCGCTGAGCTGGTTTGGAGGTCCATGGCGCTGCTGCTGGACGGTGCGTTTCTGCGCGCATCCTTAGCTGCGCCTTTGCTGGATCGGCGGCTAAAGTGGGTTTCGTCGAAAGAGTCGTAGTCGTCCTCGCCAGCCTCGTCCGAGTCGGCGTCTGCATCCTGGCGATGATCGAGCGCAGCCTGGCTCGCCTTGTAGAAGGCCTCGAGGTCTTCAAACCCATCCTGGTCGCGGGCGACGGCCGAAAGACGCAGACCGGTGCGCGAGCCCACGCCTGCTTCGTGGAAGCGCCGCGATGCCTGAGGCGCCATCGAACCTGCCGTGGATGCACTGGCTGCTGCAGCCTTGCGCTGTCGGAGCTAGGTGGATGGCAGATAGATGACCTTCTCGCCGAGAGAAGTTATCTGTTAACGCGGACTGTCGTTGCAAAAAGAAACGCCCCTTTTTGTCTGCTGCATGGAACTCTGAGCGTGGGCGGCCGGGACGGGACGGAAGATGACAAGAGGTGCGGGCAGGAAGTGAACGAGATGATGGTGATGGTCTTGGACTGCGCATATACATCCGCGTCCGATCTCCAGCCAAAGCCGTCCATCGTCACCGATGATGGGCCTCAGACGCGTCGAGTCTGGGCCGACGCGCCTTTGCCAGGGTCCAACGGTGAAAAATATGAAGAGTGTAAGATCGAGCAAGTACACAAATCGGCCACGAGATTCTCCTCGACGGCCACCATACGATAGATTCATAGCGAGTCGCCGCTGACAGCTCCGATCAGATGATGCTTGGCTCTGCAGGCACGATCTGAACAGAGCCGCAGGATACGAGTATGAATATATTGCAATAGGAAATGTGAGATAGAGACGCATGCTATGCTTAGGTTGGAAAGAGGTGCCTTGGTTAGCGTCGAGCCAAGGGTTGTCGACGAACCACGGGTCGTTTGGTGGGGCTCTCGCTGTTGCGGTTCTCCCAGTAGTGCCTTGCTTGTCTTCCGGCGCCGAACGAGTCCTCCGCCGGGCGTTTGCGAGACACGTTGGACTCAGCGTCAGCGGCATCGAGCACTTCGGGCACAATGTCGTGGGCGACGCCGTCTGCCATGGGGTGCGCGCCAGTTCCGGCGGCTGCTTTCGCTGCGGGTTGCTGCTCGAGCATCTTGAGCATTCGCATGCGTTCCTTCTGAGCTGCGGGATCGTCGTACACGATGCGGACGCTCGCATCAAAGCTCTGACTCTGACAGTTTTGACTGGCAGCGGGCATAACGAGATCTCGGTCCATGCCGAGCGAGTAGCCATGCGCGGCTGCTTCGGCGGCGCGTCGCGCATCCAGCTGCGCTTGCGCTTCGAGCACCTGCTCTGGCGGAACCGTCACCTCGCTCGAGCCGCGACCGGACGAAGGTTCGTCGGAGCGCTGTTTGCGCGCGCGCTGTCGCGTCTTGCGGCGAGCACCCTGAGCCAGCGCACGCAATCGTAGCGCTTCCAACACTTCATCAGCGGATGAAGTCTGGCCTGCACGCAGACCTTCACCAACAGACAGCGACAGGGCTGCGGTGTCGAGCTTTTGCTTTTCGACGCCGTTGACCGACAATGTCTTGCCTGCCTTAGGCAGAGGTGGAACGGCGAATGTTGCTTCATCTGCATATTCCTCGAACAGGGTCTGGCTCGAGGGTGCCACAGCCTCCTCGACTTCTCGGGACGCTTCACCGAGGGTCTTGTCCTCGTCCATGGTGACATCGATCACATCACCATTTTCTCCAGACTCGTCGACATCGTCGTGCGTCAAGTCGATCTCCTCTGAGCGTCCACGAACGCGCCTGCTGTCTGCGTCCGAGTCTTGCGGTCCGTCAAGCAAGTCGCCAGAGTATCGAGCTGCATCGGCAGAGATGGAGCGATGCCACGGCTTGGCGGCAGCAACGAGCGTCGCCTGCGTCTGTCGCGCATCCTGCGTCGTGTGCTGCGCGCCCCTGTGTTGAGCGATGGACTGCGTTGCCTGCGACAGAAAGTTGCCGCTGGCAGAACCATCCGAGTTGGAGAGCACGGTGACCAGCGACTTTGCCGGGTCCATGGACGACGGAAACAGGCTCTCGTCGACACGGATTTCCTCTTCCAGGCATTTGTCGAGCCACGAAGGGTGGACAAAGAAGACACCTCGGCTGAGCTCCTTGCCCTCACGAGGCGGTGCCGAGCCGCGATGGAGCAGGTGAGTGGTCGCCTCGCTGGCCAAAGCCTGCCATGTCGCTCCGAGCTGCAGCGCCTTCCGTTCGAGCGTGGCAGTCTGAGATGTCAAGGTTTTGGATCGGGACACGGTGCAGCCTGTCAGCGGAAGCATCGGACCCTCACGACCCTGTGCTGAGCCGTTAGAGTTCTGCCTTGACGAAGATGCTCGTTGATGCTGTGTCGAAGCGCGTGGAGCCGTACGAGCGCTGCTGCTGCTGGCGGTTGTGGCGAGGGATTCTGCCTCGATCATTGCGACCGCAGAGGGCTCGGGGACGAGGCGACCCGTTTGCTTGGCTCTGATGAGGAATTCGAGCCCAACGACGGGGATGCCGTGACTGCGCGCACGTTGGGCACGCCGACCCTCGTAGCTCTCGAGGGTGGCGCATACGACGTGGGTGAGGTTTTCGCGCTTGATTTGCGGTGCGACGGTGCCGCCGATATCGCCGACTAGCTTCTGAGCGTGGTAGAGCTCGGGCGAATCGGGTTCGAAACCAAGGAGGAATACGCGGAGCCGATGTGCATCGGGCAAGGGGAAGGGGACCTGCGCGGGCAGAGCGGCAAAGTAGGAGGCGGGCTCGACAAAGGTCTCGTGGTGGAGGCAGTACTCGATCCAGAAGTGGAGCACGGGCGTGACACCTGCGTTGACGAGCGCCTGCAGAGAGGCGGCGTCTTGCTTGGGATCGACGACGGCGAACTGAGGCGATGCAGCGTTGTCGTCCTTGAGCAGCGTGGCTCCACTCTGAGCGAGGACCTTAGCGAGCAGCTCCTTGCGGCGTGCGTCGCTCATGCAGATGCGGAATGTCTTTGCGTGGAAGCAAGGCTGAGGGCGGGTGGAGTGGGCGACGTTGATGGACGGCATGTTGGGTCGGGGGAGGAAGGTGGGTTTGGTGGTGGACTTGCGCGGATGTAGAGGAGCGGCGGTGGATGATGGTGGTGCGCGGGAGAAGCTGGAGGCGCGAGACATTCCGAGAAGGCTATTTGTCTGTGTGATAGTGTTGGAAGCCGACGGAGGTGGACGTGCGGGCGGCACGTCGAGTGCGGATGTGGAAGCGGATACGAGCGCGGGAGCGGGAGTCGAAGCGAGGCTGGGTCTGGAAGGGCGTGGAGCGAGGGATGCGGAGGAATTGGGCCCCGAGTTGCTGCGGAGCTGGGAGAGGATGCTGTCGAACGACTTTTCCGCGGCGGCAGCGGCTTTTTGCCTGGAGCCGAGCGTGATGGGTTCTTCGTCGTCTTCGTCTGCTTGGTTGCCATTGTTTTGGTGATGGGACTTTGCGCCGTCACGCGAATTTTTGAAGCTCGAACGACTCGAGGCGACGAAGGGGCTGCCGATGGTCGGCGGCGCGGGCTTTACCTGGCGGATCAAGGGCGACGGGATCTTGTGCTGCGTCTTTTGGATGAGTGCTGTGCGTTGCTGCTGGTCCGGAAGATCGGCAAAGATGGAGTAGGTCTGTTCGCTCAGACAGCCGTTGGCCTTTTGGCAGTCTGCGAGCCAGTCTGGGCGAACGGCGAGCATTTGGGCGGCGGCCTGTTCGCGCCTGCCGTTGCGGCCGTGACGGCCACGGTCGAGAAAGTGGAGCAGATGGCGTACGCTGCTGGAAGCGTTGGGATCCGCAGTGGTCGAGACGAGGTGGGTGACAGAGCCGTCGAAGCGGAGCTCGTCGGAGACGACGGCGCCGAGGGAGTGTGCGATTTGGACCAGTCTGCGGCGTTCTGTGGCTTGAAGGGATGAGAAGCAGATGATGGTGTTGGAGAGGGGCGGAAGAAGATGTTGCTGCTCGAGCTGGTGGGCGTCGACGTCGTCGCCTTGGAGCCAGGCGTTGCGAACGGCGTGGATCCAATCGGGACTGACGATGTGCATGCCGAGGTCGAGGGCAAATCGATACTTTTGAGAGCCTGGCCTGTCCGCGATGAGGTGTGTGACGTCCTCTGTGAGGTTGCCTTCGACCCTGGCGCCGAGTTCTCTGGCGTACTGGGTCAATGCGGCTTTTGCCTCGCTGAGACCGGTGATCGAGATGACGGCGCCCTTGAGTGGGTGTGCGGAAGAGCCGATGAAATCGGCGTCGACGTGTGCTCCGTGATCGTAGCCTTGGTCGCGAAGCTGACGAAAGTGGTCAGCATCTTCGCGATCATCGATGAGCTCGTGGCGGCGACGGGCGACCTTGTTCTGATGCTGTTTGGACGACGAGGCGAGGGAATCTGGCGTTTCTAGATGCGCGGGGCGAAGCTTGACGTTGGGTATCTTTGTGGAGCGATGCGCTCTGGCGGAGCGATTCATGGTGGTAAGAAGTGGTCGCGGCTGTCGATCATGGGGATTCTATACGAAGCATCGATATGCCGTACGCAGCAAAGCGGAGTGATGCGAATCGCCGATGGAAATAGGATTAGAGCGGCATGATCGATTGGCCGAGAGTTGGCTGCTTGTCTCAGCTAGAAGTATGGGGGACGATAGACGCTTGATGAGCCGGAGGGGGGTGGTCCAATTGGAAGTGGATGAGCAGACGAAGACAGAAGGGGGGGGGGGGGACCCAGCTTTACTCGAG